AACCACAACGTTTTAGCATCGTTGCAGTCATGAGCGCAATCATCGAAGTCCATCCAGGTGCCGAAGGCACAGAGCAATTCCCACCATTCCTTAGTGCGTGAGTGCTTTCTTTTCCATCCCCGTTCTGCGACTTCGAAGAGTGGTCGACCCCTCTTTGTACCCACTTCCCGCAGAGTCTGGACGGTGTGGGGGGGGAGGCGCTGGAGCAACCAAGGTGGCCCAAGATGGCTCCACGCGGGCCTCAAAGAAACCAAAGTGACCTCCAACATGGCACAACATACCCCACCCTTTTTCCAAACAGAGCCCCAACATGCCCCAAGAGGCCCCAAGACACCCCCGAGATGGCCTCAAGTGGATACAGAGCCCCTCCAGGAGGCCCCGAGAGGCCAACACCGTCCCAGGACCTAAGGACAACATATGATGGATGCGGTCTCGGCATGTCGCGCCAGATGTCCTCCCGAGGTCACAGAACGGCCCCAAGATGGCCCAAGAAGGCACCAAGAGGGGCCCAACGAGGACCCCATACGAGCCGCAAGAGCGCCCAAGAGCAACCCAAGCGCGCCCCACGAGGGCCCCAAAGACGATGTTAGGGGCGCCCGCTGGGCGAGGCGAAATCGACAACACCGCTAAAAAACATGATGTCTCACAGATTGTAGCAACTCCGGGGCATCATTGGGAGGCTTCTGGGCCCACAGAGTTCCAAGATGGCCTCAGGGAGCCCAGAATGTCCTCCAACGGGATGGCCTCAGGGAGCTCCAAGATGGCCTCAGGGCCCCCAAGACGGCCACGGGAGCCCCCAAGAGCGCCCCAATACCGCCCGGGCGGGGCTGGTTAGCCCTAGGTCGGGCGTGTCCTCCCACATGCGGATTTTAGGAGAAAAATTCAAAACAGCCCAAACATTCCCAAAGGATAAACAAAAATACTCAAACAATCGTCCCCCGACTATGTAGTACTATTTGTGAATGTTTCCCCTGGAGAGGGACGCGCCCGACTAAAGTTGACCCCCACCCGCCCCCTTTTTTTCAGCCACAGTGGGCCCGGGATCCTCCAAAGAAGGCCCCAACAACCCTCCGCGACAGCACCGTGAGAGCTTATGGAGGCCCCAGAAGGAGTCCTTGGAGGACTCGACGAGAGCCCCAACAAGAACCTCAAATCCGCCGATCCGGCGTGTGAGTTTCTGAGAGCGTGGGCTTGAGCTCGCTCAAGCTTCGCTCTGCGGAGGGGGGGGGGCCTCATTTCCGACCTATTTCCTACCTAATTCAGTGCTTCGCACCCCCCCCTACAGAGCGGACCCACCCCCCTGCAGAGCGCCCCCCCCCCCCCCTCTGCAGCGCAGTCCCCCCGCCCTGCAGAGCAGGCCCCCCCCCCCTGCAGCCCCCCCCCCCGAGCGGACCCCCCCCCCTCCCCTGCACCCTCCCCTGCAGAGCAGGCCCCCCCCTGCAGAGCGGACCTCCCCCCTGCAGCCCCCCCCCCTGCAGAGCCGCCCCCCCCCCCCTCCTCTCTGCACCCCCCCCCCCTTGCAGAGCAGACCCCCCTCCTGCACCCCCTTCCCCTGCAGAGCGCCCCCCCCCCCCCCCCCCCCTCTGCAGCCCAGTTCCTCCCCCCCCCCTTGCAGAGCGGACCCCCCCCCCCGTGCAGCCCCCCCCCCCTGCAGAGCGGACCCCCCCCCCTCCCCTGCACACCCCCCCCCTGCAGAGCAGACCCCCCCTCCTGCAGCCCCCCCCCTGCAGAGCGGACCCCCCCTCTCCCCTGCAGCCCCTCCTTCTGCCGAGCGGACCCCCCCTGTCGTCGTCGTCGTCGTCGTCGTCGTCGTCGTCGTCGTCGTCGTCGTCGTCGTCGTCGTCGACGTATTCGTTTTCGTCGTCGTTTTCGATTTCTTCGTCGTCTTTCATTTCCACAGGCACCCGGAGCGCCCCGGATCGGCGGCACTGGCCGGAGGCCACTACAATACACCAAGAGTCCTCCAATCTACTCTCACAACAAAAAGGTTCTGGCCTCCTTCTGGTCATCATGTTCCTGCTCTCCCCTTCCTCTTCCTCATCCTCGTGTTTCTCCTCGTCCTCCTCCTTGTCGTCCTCTCCTCATGTTCCTCCTCCTCTTCCTCCTCCTCTTCCTCCACCACCTCCTCATTATCCTAATTATCCCCCCTCCTCCTTCTGTTCCTCCTCCTCCTCCGGTTCCCCATCGTTCTCGTCTCCATCCTCCCGCCCTGCCTCAACCCACATTGCCCCTGCCACTCGATTGGGCACCGTTTCAGGAGGAGGAGGAAGAGGAGGAGGAGGAGGAGGAGGAGAGAGAAGGGGGGAGGGAAAGAGGAAGGAGGGAGAAATAAGGGACAAGTTGAAAATGGAAGCGATGATGACGACAACGATCGACGACAAGGACGGTGACGATATCGGATGAGAACGACGAAATACGACGACATGGACGAACGGAAAGGAGAAACGGAAAACGCGAAAATGATTTGGACGTGCGAGTGGATAACGAACTACCCACGAATGGAGGAAACATTGTAGGCGAGGCGTTTCTGTCATTTCCCCTGACT